CATCATCACCATCATCATCGCCATCATCAACATCACCACCACCACCACCACCACCACCACCACCGCCGCAACACGTCTCCATGCCGTCATCATGTCATGCAGGATCAACTACACCCCCGTTTCTTGGAGGAACCTTCGGGCCTGGTACCCTATGGCCAGCTGTCTTTCACTGGTATACTCGCGGCTGAATGCTGGAACATTTCACCATAGATGCCCCGCAATGCGACGGAACACGAGTTGGGTCAGGATTCGGTGATGCTGGGATGGGAATAATCGTAAGGTTTGAGGATGTGCATGTTTCAGAGACTGGCTCAAAAACCCTTCGACCCTCTTTGAAGAAACTTGCTATACAAGGGCCCATCCCGAATGGAGGCTCCAGGCAACCAGCTGTCAGACCCGTACTTTGCCAGTGCCGGGCCGGCTGCTCGTGCGCAGCGCGCTCGTGTAGATCTGCTTGATACCTGGGTGGCCCAACGCACTCCGATCTCCCTCCCAAAACCCTAAACCCTAAACCCTAAACCCTAAACTCATGATGAAGATATTTTGTCGAGATTGTCGCTGCTTCTGACAGTTCAGTTCTGATTACAAAGCTATTTTGCGGCTGCCTTGTGGGGAGAACCCTGGCCAAACCCAGATGAAAAGCATCCCAACGCTGGGTAAGGAGGAATGTGCCCAACTCTGGCTGGCCAGCGCTTGATAAACTCCGAACTTTCACGCCATCACCTCAACACGCATCCCACACGCATGTGCAAAAACAGACACACAAAGACACACAACGAAACAACACAAACCTAACCCTTTGTTCTCTGTGATGTTCAGCTGCACTTCGATAGTCGAAGCCCAAATGCCCATATTCCTTGCCAACAACTGCCGAATCCTAGACCGGAGATCCTAAATCCAAATTCCCAGAGTCCTTCATGTGCAAACCGAATCCTGAATTCTAGTCCCGAGTATCCGCATCATAGAATAAACTACCACAGATGCCAAGACCCCAACACTCCTGACTGCGAAACCCAAAGCTCCTGAACCTCAAGTCGCGAATCCTAGATCTTCCAGTCAGTCGGGACTGCTTCTGAGCGGCTTCCATCGCTGCAGACTGCGTAGACGGTGAGTTGGAAGGATGTAATGCCCGTCTCCTGAGCTCAGTGGCCCTTTTGGCCTTTCTGGTTCCGGGTTGAAGGTTGCGGGCTTCAGGGGCCGAGGGTCTATCCAGAGCTGGAGTTCAGGCTACCCTTACACTGTCCGAACAGCCTAAAGAAGGTGTGGCTCAAGGGCATTGGATTAGTTAAGCTGACAGGTCGGAGATCTTTAGTGTAGGGGCCGGAAGAATTAGATAGGCTTTTGGGGTACCTGATACTACTATAATCATACCAAGGAACCACCAAAATAGTATAGGTAATACTATAATCATAAGAAGGAACCACCAGAATAGTATAAGTAATTATTCAGGCCCTTATATTGTGATTACAGTATGTGTTCCAGCCTTGAAGTTTGGAGTTGGAAGTTTTGAGGGCCAGGAAATGACCAGAACATCAGGTCCCCGGAAGACCCCAAACCCCCAAACCCTATGATGTAGGGGCCTTAGTAGCTAGAATAGGTTTTTTTTTTAAGGCTCCTTCATAGTATAGTTATAGTTATAATGATGAACCCTAAGGAATAATATTGGGAATTACTCTATAAAGCCGCATGCAGCTGAGCAGCAGTGTCTGCCAGGGTTGTGAATGTCTGCTGGGTGCTCCAATGATCTTCGATGTCAACCTGCCAGATTGCATGCCCGAGACACAGAGGTTCAGAATTCAGGGCTAAGGGTTTGGGGGTTGGGGGGTTTAGGTCGAGACCGGGACTCAAAACCCAAAAGGCACCAACCAGCCTCCCCTGTAAGCCCAGAAGAATCCTAACATTCCGCACCACGACATCCTAAAGCCACAGTCCCTGGCCCTGCAGAACTTAATGGTGCGGTTCATATTTTTTGGCTCCCTCGTTGGCCAAATTCCCCGGCCCAGAATCACTTCACCCCATGGCGAACATAAACAATTCAGACTTACGAGTTCTACGACTCTTATATTCTTCAGCTCAGAAACCCAAAACCCACACCCCTAAACCCTACACCCTAAACCCTCGACACTAGACCCTAAACCCTATACACCCTACACCCTAAATAACCCCAAACCCCAAACCCTAAACACACACCCTAAACCCTAAACCCTAAACCCTACACCCTAAACCTGGTTTCAGACCATTGGGCTTCTTGCAATACACTTGCCCTCCTCAGCCCACCCTGATCTGAGACCTACCTCTGTCTAAGGTAGAACCCATGGGCCCCTAGTATGGGCCCTTAACCCTGGGACCCTAATATACCTACTATATACCCTATATATACCCTTAAGGGACCCTAGAATCCCTTAAGTGCCCATGTTAGGGGCCCATGGGTTCAACCTTAGACTCTGAACTCGAAAGAGGCCCCGCCCTCTGGCCTCCAGGGTTTAAAGTTTAGGGTCTATAGGGTTTTAGGGTTAGTTTAGGGGGCGTCTATAGGGCGTTAGGGTTTTAGGGTTTAGGGTTTTTTTGTTTAGGGTTTAAGCGCCAAGCTCCAAACCTCGAAATATGTGGAGCTTGTGGATGGGGGGTTGTATTCTCGCCTACGCATACGACACGGACACCGTAGGGTACAACCTGCATTGGACGGACTAGTACTTATCTAGGGGCCCAAGTCTGTTAGTATCGAAGCATGCGAACCCTAAACCCTAAACCCTGCACCCTGAAAGAAAAACGAAAGGAGTCAACTGAGACTCGGGCAGTAGGAACCCAAAACTGCCCAGGGATCCATCCGGCACACACCACGAAGTACTCCACGCCTCGACGAGATATACAGGAAAAAGAGTCTGCATGGAGGTTTATAGACTTGATCGACCTTTCAAGGATAAACCCTACGCCGCCTTTACCCCAACAACATGAGGTTGTTCCGGTTAGAGAGCTTGTGTATTGAAGGTAAGGCCCTAAACCCTAAACCGCTACAGAACCCTTCTAGCCACTAAACACATAGGAGCCCTACAACGCCTGATGACCCTGCTTTCCAAGCTCCCTTAGGCCCTAGATCTCTCATAGAACCCTTCTAAAAAAAAACACCTAAAAGTAACCTCATCATGACCTTAAAGCCTTACTCACTAGGTTCCCGGTCTTCCCCGTTGGTTTCGGAGAGTTTGACTTGTTATACTGGACTTTGAGACCGAGAAAGCGAGATGCCCCATCCCCTTCGATTAGGCTTTCGGGCAATGTAGGTAAGTATTAAGGTTCCTATATTAACCAGATAGCCTGACGACGACAGGAAACCTACATTTCAGCCCTAAACTGAATATCCCTCGATTCAGACAATAGAACTCGCATGAAGCAGGGAACCTTGAAATTTTGCTTTCTTTTTGGAGGTTCCGGCAACCTACGCATCCCCGGCCAAGGTCCCTAGACCCTAAACCCCAGAGCCCCTAAAGCCCCTAAAACCCCCGAAAGCCCAAAACCCCTAAAGCCCACCGAAACCCTAAGCCCTAAACCCCCCAAACCCCCCCAAAGCCCCTAAAAGCCCTAAACTCAAATAGGCTCTTCATCTTGCCTGGATAGAGGCCCTCGATGGTGAAACTGAGGACAACATCCAGCTCCTGCCCAGGCAGTTGGGCTCCGCGGTTTTTTTAAGGGTTTAGGTAGGGTTTAGGGTTTAGGGGTTTAGGGTTCAGGGGTTTAGGGTTTAGGATCTAGAAACCCAAAGTTTGGGTAGAAACCCAAAGCCCAAGCACCGGGTTTAGGGTTTAGGGCTTGGGTAGACACCCAAACCCCAGCCCATAGATCCTGCACCAGACAGACTACAGCCTACCCTCTAAAGCCAAGCCCAAACGGCCTTCGGGACTCGGGAATAGACCATCTTTCGTTAAAGCACTTCTTGGGAACGGGGGCGGTCCTGCGGAATGTCTGTAGACCCTTCAACCGCCAATCTGCGCTTAGCACCCCAGTCACTACTTCCCAAGAATCTCTGAAGCTGCTTGCCTGGATGAGGTCGTTCGTGGAGTTGTGAGACAAGCCTTCATGCCACAAGCAATTCAAGGGGCTGCAGCTTACTTCCCCAATAAGCAAGGGAAACAAAAGGTTAAACTTTCAGATTACCACCAAATTATAAGAACCCAAAAAGTTTAAAGGTTGGGTATTGGAGAACTAGGGCAGAAAGCATCCAGAGGTGAAAGCTGTCAGAGGTGTGCAGGACATGATCAACGAAGCTTCCACGGGCCCCCAACCTGGATTTCACCACCAAGGCTGTGCCTGTCCCCAAGTCCCAAGTCTCCCCCCGCACTTTGGGGAGGGAGGGAGAAGTCAAAGTGAAACAGCCTTCGGATCAGATGACAAATTGCCCTCTATCTGTCTCGCTTCTATTTAATTCGGGAAATGTGATCCCTAAGCCCCCAGGTACCTGCTATATAGGGTACTAGAGACCCTGGGGCCCTACATGGGGATGTCCGAAAATAGGGACCCTAATATAGTACCCTAAATAATAGGATCCCTATTATAAGGACCCCAAAATAAGGTACCCCTAATTTTCTGAAACTCCCACATAGTAGGTACTTGGGGGGTTACGGGATGTTGGTGGTGTATGCATGATCAGCGCAGAGGCCCGGGCGAACGCGGTGCAAGGGATCGAACTGTTGGAAGAACCGACACGATGGTCGAAAAAGACACAACCTAGAGTCCTTAATGATTAGAATAGGGGGAATAGGGTTTGGGGAAAAAATATGCAAACAAAAAAATTACTAAGGAACCCCCAAAACCCTGTTAAAATTATTAAGACTCCTGCCCTACATCACCTTATTGGCCACGGCACATCTCAGGTCGCTGGTTGGCGACAAGACTGCTGTCCTCAGTGACTTAGGGTGTGTTTCCCCAACCCCCAAGTACCTACTATATAGGGCCCCAGGGTCTGTAGTACCCTATATAGCAGGTACCTGGGGGGTTAGGGTTTTTTGGGATTCGGATCGTTTTGGGTTGAACGTTTGGGATTCCGCTGGGGAGTTACATGAAGTCCGTCGATGATGCTGCCTGCTGCAAGGCAGGAAAGTGAAGTTGAGAAAAAGTTGGACAAGACATTTTGCTGAGGCTGCAAACCGTAGACTTGCAGTATCTGCCCACGAGACTCAAACATCTCCATGCGACATACCTGATCCCCTACGAGAAGAACCGCATACCTGTAACACCGGGGCAGAAGAGCTTCCGCTGTAACCTCAAACGCTTGAAACCCTAAACCCTTAAATGCACACTCTAAACCCTGAGCCCAGAAACCTCAAAGCCCCAAAACCCTAACCATGGCAGCATCCAAGGAGAAATACCTCTGAGAAGAAAGTCTGAGCTCCATGGTCCGGGGCGGACGACCATATAGCCGAATCTAATCTAACCTCATATTCTATCTGTCGCATTCACCTACCGATCGGTCTATCTATATACCCAGGTAGCTATGTAAAATACACAATTTGATTAGTGTGTGTGTGTGTATGCATGCGTGGATGTATGCATGCATGTGTATACACACATGCATACATACTTAGATAGATACATATATATACATACATACATGCATACATACATATATATATATATATATATATATACTTCTATTATATTATATATTCTATATATACATATATATGCCATGCCTAAACCATAGTCCGCTGAAGCCACAGCGCTTGAATCTTCATACTGTGTGCCCTGGACAACCCGTAAACCCGCACACCACAAGACAAGAAACTAAATTATTCTAACCCTTGCTTAACACCCAAGCAGCCCAGAAACCTAACGTGCATACGATACCCCAAAAGCCTAAAACTGTACGATCCTAATTCACGAATTCTTAAACCAAGGGTTCTCAAATCAAGAATTCTTAAACCAAGAGTTCTCAAATCAAGTATTCTTAAACCAAGAGTTCTCAAATCAAGAATTCTTAAACCAAGAGTTCTCAACTCAAGAATTCTTAAACCCGGGAAGTGTAAGACCCAGGAGCTGGGCTTTCTCTGCGCAGACTGCAGGGTCCTTCGGTGAGGCCGTGCAATTCATCTGAGTCCTGTCTCGGTGGCTTTGTAGCTTTGAAAGGGTATAAGATTTCGTTATTCCCGGTTGGCTTTGTGGCCTTGAAAGGGTATAGGGTTTCGGTTCTTTAGGGTTTAGGGGGTGGCTTTGTAGCTTTGAAAGGGTATCGGGTTGCGGTTATTCAGGGTTTACAGGGTGGCTTTGTGGCTTTGAAAGGGTACAGGGTTTCGGTAATTCAGTGTTTTGGGTTTCGGATATTTTGGGCTGCAGGGGTTTGGAAGTTGAAGCACCCCATGGTGCTACAGAGTCCTATGTGCCTAGCAGCTGAAACTTGTGTGAACTAGTATTTGGCATTAACTAGGCCATCCCATCGACTGCGGTCGTTTCGGTCTCACGTAGGGATGCAGAATGGAGACCAATCCTTGCATCGGTTCAGTCATGCTGCAGAACCATTGAAACTGTGGGCTCCACTTACCCTACTTGGAGGATCAGGGGAGCCATAAAAAAAGGTAAGGTTCCATATACCACAACCAAACGGGGTTATCGGTATTTATCAAGTACCATAATTGGCGCTGTCGGTATTTAAAACATTCAGTAGTTACCTTTGATTGCAACACCCTTCAAGATGATCCGCCTGAAGACGCAACTCCACCAAGTTAGCCCTAAGACCCTAAGAGCCCTCCCCGCCCAAGCAATCAGAAACTAACAGTTTAGGGGTTTAGGGTTTAGGGGTTCCTGGCCTCTTGTCCCAGAGGATGTTATACCTGCAGGACATGGGAGTTTAAGCACACGAAGGGCACTTCGTAGACCCTAAAGCAAGTCGTAGAGTTGCAGAGACGACTTGCATGTCGAAGGTTTGGGAGGTGGGTTTAGGGTTTAGGGTTTAGGGTTTAGGGGTTTAGAATTTAGGGTTTAGGGTTTAGGGGTTTAGAATTTAGGGTTTGGGGTTTAGGGGTTTAGAATTTAGGGTTTAGGGTTTAAGGNGGTTTAGGGTTTAGGGTGTCATGGTTGCCAACGAAGATGCTGCACAGACGTCGAGGTGATGGCCGAATCCTTGGCGAGGTCTGCTCATGCCCTCTGCTTCCCGTGGCGCAGGATTTGTAGTGTCGAGGGCTTAGGAGTTGCAGGCTTGGCTGGGCCGCTTCAGTGATTCTGTTTTTGGGAAGTGGGGTACAGAAGCAAAGTAAAATGCTGCTGGTTTTCGATGAGGGTTGATGAGGGTCGTGGCTAGGTGTCACGTTGCGAAGTCTTCATAGCGTCTTGCATCCGAAGTCCAAGCCAAGCCCAAACCTAGAGCCGCAGAAGTGGTTTAGGGTTTAGGGTT